ACATCACGGAAAAACAACTCCGTAACCGTAATACAAATACGAGATTCCTTATAACCATCAACTTGAAGAGACGCCCCCTGTTCTACATCTTCACCAGCCTGCTCCCCGTGGTGCTCCTCCACTTCCTCAACAGCTTCGTGTTCCTGCTGCCTTCACAGAGCGGAGAGAAGACCAGCATGGCCGTGTCTATCCTCCTCAGCTTCCAACTGTTTCTCTCCATCATCAGGGACTCCCTGCCCGAGAACTCCCTGACTGTCAGCCTCTTCAGTCTCTACGTGTCTCAGGCCAACTTCACCAGTGTCGTCATCGTCGTTGTCAACATCTTTCTCCTCAAAATGAAAGAGAAGCCACCACCGAAATGGATCTTAAGAATGTGTAAGATGGAGTTACATAAAGTTGATATTGTTAGCGACAATGTTCAGGATGACTATCCAAAGTGGCCAGATATCGAAACTGAACTTAACAGGATCTGTTTTGCATGCTTCATTGTGTTCAGTAGTGGTCTGACAGCGGTGGTTCTTGGGATGCTGACGATATGAAGACGCGGAAATATTACCCTGGCCTACCATGTCAATGGTCTTTATTGTAATGCTAACGTCAGAGAATAATAGGTCCTGACGTCTCTACTGCCCCTTGAGTCAAAATGGCAAGGTAAATTATATGAATAAATCAATGCATTACCTGACCTACCACGCCTATTGTCTTTGAAACTTAGACTACGATTATGTTTGTTTTGTTATATACAAATACAAAGATAATAGCCAAGGAGGATTAATTTGATGTGCTTATTATGTTTGCTATAATTAACACAAAGTACTGCTTAGAAAGAAGACAACGTATCATTATGGACAAACATTGATTTGTGTGAAGTAAAAAAAAACAGGTTCAAACCTACTATCCGCTTGAAATAATTCAATATGGTGAGGAAGATTTTATGAATGTGGATGCTTAGCTTTTAGGATACCCTACTGCCTCTTGCAGTGAAAAGAAACTGTTAAGAAATATGTATTTAATCATAAAGAAATGTTTTAATGTAGGTAAACTTCCTCAATTATTTTCCAGAATTATTGGCATTTCAGTGGTGGTCAGGTTCTCCGACTTGGTTGTTGCATGTCCTAATACCCTGATTGCGTTTATCAATGTTCATGATGTCGGTCACTGGATTATCTGATTCAGATAGGTTCCAAGTCTTCTTGTTATAGTTCATGTCGTGAATCGAGTGGTCATGCTCGATGGCATGGATGATTTCGTATCATCTATCATGACTATAATCGTATGGCGATTGTAGACCTGAGAGAAAGTCATGTCCTCGTATCCCAGCTGTGTAGAAAGACTTTCATGACACTCGTCTTACTCAATGCCGCATGGAACGAAAGAGATGAATAATTGTCAGTGACTATGAACATATGGGTGTCCAGATCAGTCAAGGAAGGAGGTCTGAGGTTCACAGCAGAAAAGTGTTTGAAGGGAGGTAAATGTTAGCAGGCACACATCAATTCGTTACTGAAGGTCAAAGCAATTTAGGTCAAATCATTTATGTTCGATGAACCATGGCTGACAAGATGTCATCAGACAATGACGTAAGTGCAAAAGAAGAACAGGTAATACGGAGCGGCGCAACCTCGGAGGACACAGAGAAATATTTCCCTTAGACCGCTGAGCAGGAAACGTAACCCAGTTTTTAAATATTACTCTGAACGAACGAAAACACTGAAATATTTCATACAGAATATAGAATTTTGATGAATACTCTTACGACATAAAAAGGTATTATACACAACACACAGAAAGCTAATATTTATCAGCTGAACGACGGTTTCTGGAAGGCTGATACACTGCTGTAAGAGTTAGAGGATATAGAGGGGAAATCTTGTTGAGTGATTGGTAGGGAAGACATAAGACTTTAAATGTATTCTTTCATGAACCTGTTGCCAGTGAAGTGTACAGGCTTAATGTGCTCTCTAGGTTTAGTAAATACCCTTGTGGCTGTATTCTGCACTTTTTGCAATGAGCAAGGTGATGTTTAGAATTGTTATGGGGAGGCTGGTGGGGAAAGACCAAGTGATCGCATGTATGTTACAGTGGCATTTCTAGTAAAGAGATGCCTAATAGAACCAAGGTTCCAGAAGTGGAGTTGGCACGTTTTGCATAGAAAATTAATATGGCCTTCTATGGTCAGGTGAAACTCCGGGTTAGAACTGGTCTTCAGCAACCCATGCTTGTTGTAAGAGGCGACTAACGGGATTGGGTGGTCAGGCTCGCTGACTTGGTTGACACATGTCGTCGTATCCCAAATGTGTAGATCGATGCTCATGCTGTTGATCACTGGATTGTCTACACAGCTGGAATATGGCCGAGTGTGGCGTTAAACAGCAACAGCAACAAAAACCAAAAAAACAACAACAAACAAACCATACTGTGCATGCATCCACACACAGTCTTAATTACAATATTAGAAGACAGCTTGACATCAGCACAAACATTTATGTTTTTGTCAGTATTTCAATTTAACTGCACCTATGTATTGTGAATTTGCACGTTTAGGTAATCATGTAAATATAACCCAGGTTTCTAGAAAGGCCTTAGACTATAGGCATTCCGGACAATGCAAGGTGGGCGAGCTGTCTAAGGCGGTGCGCTAGTAAGCGAAAGGTGCCTGGATCGATGCCCCCTTGTGACCGGGTGTAAAAACCTTGGAGCTAACATTACTTGCAGGCTCTTTCAGTGTTGTCACAACCTCTAGTCTGCAGTACACAACCCTGTGCACTTAAAAGAACCCACTAGTCCGATGGTAAGTGACCAAGTGGTGGACACACGAACACGTGTAGACACTTAGTTGCGGGTATAGTAACGTGTAGTATCCTATGACAAAATACTGTGACTATGAGGCTGAGGCTATGTGATAACTGCTGCACCTAACAGGCTGCATGAGTTGAATACTCCCCAGGGAGTTGAGTTGGTTAAAAGAATGCCATCTGTTGATCAAGGGAACACGCCAGCTCCTTGAGCACGTACTAATTGCGTGGATATGTGCGCTATATAAATATCCTATAATAGGGAGGGAGTGAGTTTAGTTTTACGCCGCACTCAGCAATATGGCGGCGGTCTGTAAATAATCGAGTCTGGACCAGACAATCCAGTGATCAACAGCATGAGCATCGATCTGCGCAATTGGGAACCGATGACATGTGTCAACCAAGTCAGCGAGCCTGACCACCCGATCACGTTAGTCGCCTCTTACAACAAGCATGGGTTACTGAAGGTTCATTCTAACCTGGACCTTCACGGGTCATGTCCTATAATAATGCGATCAAAGGACTGAACAGTGTGCATCATACCAACACTCTGTTTACATTTTACTCTCTAAACTGGGGTTTCTGCAAGTTTTCAATGGCTCCAATGTGAACACATTCTTCATCGCCATGCCAAATATTGGTGGCCCCTTGAAAACGTGAGTTGTGGGCATTATGAATGGATAGAACCGGACTCAAAACACTGAATTTTACTTGCCCAAACAATCATACGAGCTATTTCAAATGTAATTACCCAAACTATTAAGGCAACACTAGTAATTAAACTTTAACAATCATTATTGCACAACAGTGCAGTATACATGTAAATGAGATGTTGCAACTGCGCGGACTGGTGCTCATGATGTTAATTACTGGATTGATGACTTGGCTATGTACAATACATCGTCAAATAATTGAAATAATTAGAGCAACGTTAAGCGACAATCAAACAAAAATATCAATAAGAGCTATGTTTTATTACCATGAAAGGTAAGTCGTACAAACATACATCGTTAAACCTAAATCATGTTTGCTTTTAGCTGTGATCGTTATATGATGGCACTCTAAACACTAAACACTTGAGTCAACATCGGGCACTATGCATCTATCTACGGCCTTTATTGGTGAAATGCAATCAGCCAAGACCTTGAACCTGATCACATGATACACCATGTCGCCTCCTCCAACATCCATCAGTTGCTTTGGACCAGGCCAAACTCAGAATCCTAAGGGCGTTCATAGCTGAGCATATTGTTGCTAAATCTTGTCTGAAGATGCCAGGTGATAATATATATCTGAGCTCAAACAAAATGTCATTTCTAAGGCACAATTGTAGATTTCAGAGAGTTTTTTTCTTCACCCTTTGTTTTAGCATTTCTGTTTGCCGGTTACCGTAGTAGCAATTACAAATTAGTTGATGCCACTTTGTAGGCTCAACTAAATCAATACATTATGCCACTACTCCTTACTGTTTACAGAATGTAGTATGGCAATATCTTTGGTGGGTGTAGCGTAAAGCAACAAAAAGCATACTTTTTCAGTTTAAATTATGTCTTATTGAACTATAAACACCAGTTAGTTTCATTCAGAGAGGGTCACATCTTTTAGTCGTAAATATTCATGCAGAATATTCCATTCAAACTTTCTTAGGTATTACCATTGCGTCGGTAACGAAAACGAATGTAGAATTATTTAAAGTTTCAGTGAAAGGAAATAGATATAGCTTGCCATGGAGATACCGACGCTTCCTGTCTATCCCGCCAGCATCCCCAGAAACACGGCTGAGCTGAAACACTGCTGCTGAACACAAAGAAACATACAAAAGAGGTCCTGTTAAGTTTAGAGTCAACATCTGGACACTTAACCCTTGTCTGGTCTTCATCCTCTACATTGCCACTGGCAACATCATGTAATGATGAAGCTGAGGCCGTCTCCGGCGTTCACGTCATATATTTTCAAATTTATATCACAAATCATAGTTCACTTGATGTTGGACCATAACTATGAGTTGGTTTCTTTGAGAGACAAACAATATATTGAACTGCCTCGGCTGTTTCACCTTAATACACTCTGAACGAGCAGAGGATTATTCAACGTTTCAGTATCAGCATATACGTGTGATCTGACAGGTTCAGTTTAAATATGTTTCTGTACGTTGCTGTAGAAGAAAATAGATTGGCAGTCCAGGGATATACCAATAAACCATCTTTATCTCGTCAGCATTCCAAGGACCACAGCACTTACAACACTACTAAACATAAAAAAGCATAGGAAACACTTCTTGTTCAGTTTAGTTTCAATATCTTCCCACCTTGGTCTTGTCTGCTCTTCATCCTCGACATTGCCACCGAATGTTTTACACATTCTTAAGATCCATTTCGGTGGTAGATTCACTTTCATTTTCAGAATGATGATGTTGACAACGACAATGAGGACACTGGTGAAATTGGCCAAAGACACGTAGAGGCCGAAGAAGCTGACGGTCAGGGAGTTCTCGGGCAGGGAATCTCTGATGATGGACAGAAACAGTTGGAAGCTGAGGAGGATAGACACGGCAACGCTGGTCTTCTCTCCGCTCTGTGAAGGCAGGAGGAACACGAAGCTGTTGAGGAAGTAGAGGTGGACAACGGGGAGCAGGATGGTGAAGATGTAGAACAGAGGACGTCTCTTCAAATTGATGGGTATACATATCAACTCTCCGCTGTAACCGCCACTTATGTAACGCATGTCACCAGGAGAAATTTCAAACTCGCCATTCTCTTCAAATTGTTCCAAATCAACATCTGTTTCACTGGAGATGTGTATTTTATTGTTGCTACCGAACCATCTAACTATTACAATTTCACACGTCTGGGTATCAAAGGGAAACTTGTAAATGTTGATGAGGCATCTGGTTTCTGTTGTTCCTGCGAGAAGCCATCGGATATTTCCTTGACTCGTAACCAACAGAGACCCTCCATTATGCATTAGCGCTTGATCCGTGATACTATTTCCTATGATCAGTTCAGGTTTCCAAAATTTGTTCGAGTCCACAAGAATACTTTTCTGCGAGCTAAATGAAGCATTCCAAACAAGTCGTTGATCGTTCCACGAGAGGACCATCCACATGGTGCTGCTAAGAAACTGCTTTTTGTTGTCCAGTTCTTGTATAGATACTAATCCCGCTTCAATACTAATGTTAACCACATCGCTGGGTTTGTGATGGGCTTTGTAGTCTTGTAGGATGAAGTCAGCAACTTCTCCATCCGACTTAAAACATACGCTCAGTGGTATAACTTGCAGCATGCATGTCAAGATAGTAACCTTTCTGACGTTGAACATCTTATCAGGCGAATGTGCAAGTCCATCAGATGCAAACGGATGATGCGTCGTCATATTTATGCAAGACCGTCAGTGTATGTTTCTATGGAGATGACATGGAACAAAATGTAATCCTCTGAAATACCGAAACTTAGTGTTAATGGACGTCAGAATGAAGGCTTCAGGGTAATTATTTCAGTGCACTTCTTGCCAAACTGTGAATCGAAGGCATGATCCAATTAGGTAACAGCCATAAGAGGTTTATAATGAATTAATACAGATCGATATTATACTCAGCTCTCATTTGTCTCTGAAATGTTTGCGTCCATGCATCCAATGTACATAAAGAACTGCAAAGCCGTTCTCCATGATCATTAAGCTACTCATCTAATGAAAGTAGTCTATTTTAAGATTATGGCTGACTTGAACAAGACGGTGAGATCACTTGTGGAAAGAGACGATTATTGACAGTAAAGGTCACCCCTCTCATACAACTTTATGTATAATTGTTACTCACTCTAAACCTTAATAAACACATTCAAATACTCAGTTTTAATTAAAATGTGTAAATCAGTAAACGTGATTTGGCATTATCGTATACCTGCATTATAAGTTTAACTTGTTCACAAATGACATGGATAAATACTCTCTGTTCACCAAGCAGTGACTGATCATATGTCATCACATGTATGAAATGATACTGTCTGCAAACAATCTTGCACCTGCCAGGTTGATTGAGCGATATAGTGCCAGGAGAGCGGAGAATCAGTTTGACTGGACATTGTAAAAATGTTAAAAAATTGTGTGAAGAATATCCTCGTAGTGCCAACTGTGTAATGCTAATATCTCTTCCCTCGTGTGGACCCGGCGTGGATTAGGTCCTCAGCACCCCATTGATGGTTGTAACACGCGACTAAATTCGGCAACCTGTTTGCCGTGGTTTGGTGGAGGAGGATTCTGGTGTTTGAGGACAAAGGAGCAAGGAACAGTGTTCTTTTTACCCAACACACTAGTAGGACCCTTGCTTCACCTAGACGGGTGGTAGAATGGATCAGGTTCTATCAATCGGTTGGTTATGACATGCCCTGTGCATAGGCAGCGTGTATTTAATAATGTCAAATATAACAATGTGATCGAGTGAGTTCAAATCTAACGTCAATATATCCCTGTTTATTGTATATAATTATAATTTTCCTGGAGTCCTGTACCAGAAGGAAATGGGTCATAGATCAAACTGGTGATATGGACACTGAATTCTGAGTTTTATCCTTTATTAACAACAGCTTTTCTTGTCCTGATTTCTGGAGTATGGCGTTCCTGGTGAGGTAGGCTTGCCTCAAGGACAGCACCGTCTGAGTTGGTACTCGATGGCGAATGGGGAGCAGAGAAGCTGAAACTTATTCTTACGACATGTCTTTAACCTCTCAGTTAAGTTTTACGCCACTTTTAGGAACATTCAAACAATATCACACCAGAAGTGAATAATTATAAAAGTACAATGAATGCCACTGAAAGGCAGCTCCAGCTATGTGTAAATTAAACCAGTTATTGGTGTTTAGAAAACGGATTAAATTTCCCTATATCTAATTGTAATCGTACTATTTGTGTCGAAAATATCAACCAGACAAAGACCCAGAATTCAATTTAGATATTACGCCTATTCAAGTACTAAACGAAGAAGTCAAATTCATGTTTTTTAGTATTTGACCTTTCTTCCCCACATCAAATATTAAAAGAATAAATGCCTGAAGAAACTCGATTTATAAATAGTTGTTTCTAATTCCAAAGACCGCCTCCGTGGTGTAGTGGTTAGAGCGTCCGCCCGGAGAGCGGAAGGTCGCGTGTTCGATCCCCGACCGCGTCAAACCAAAAGACGTTGAAATATGGTACTTGTTGGTCCCTGCCTGGCGCTCGGCATTAATGGGTACAACGAGGACTGGTCGGCTCGGAGTCAGTATAATGTATCTGAGTGGTGTATTCATGCTTCACTGCGGCATGGTATCTCAGTGGGCTAGCACTATAAAACCAGCATCTGTCTGGGCTAGTACAAGCAGCCGCACATACACATACACACGAATGCACGTCGCCATATCAGCGAAATATTCTCAAGCACGACGTAAAACCCAATTTCACCTCACCTTCTAATTCCAAATGGAGAAGTGACCAGTCAACCCTCCTTTATCTGTGTGCGCACTAAGCCGTTCAAAGCTCGACCGTCTATAGTGGAACCTGCAAAAGCAACCTTAAACTTTAAGATTATGCATAAAATGATTGTCCCCCTGAAAGGGTATATAAGTCCCATTTCATTCGAGGTAAGTAATTTTTCATAGTACGTCCTTTTAATCGTGGGATATATGTTATTTTAATGTTTGGCTAAATTGCCAACGGTCGCCAACGGTCCAGCTTGTGTCCATGCAGGTCGCGAATGAAGTCCCCAAGGTCCCTAGTGTGGGGATTATCCTTCAGTTCCCGGCGATCTATAGCCCGTTTTTTATATTGTATTGTTCACTTTAATGACAGATTTTTATAATAACATGCTAGTTCTTCCTTACTGTATGTGATACTCCAGTTGTTTTACTGTCCATCACCGACAGGTTCTAATCTTCAAGACCCGTGAAGATCCGGGGTAGAATAGGTCTTCAGCAACCCATGTTTGTCACAAAAGGCGACTATGCTTGTCGTAAGAGGCGACTAACGGGATCGGGTGGTCAGACTCGCTGACTTGGTTGACACATATCATCGGTTCGCAATTGCGCAGAGCGATGCTCATGCTGTTGATCACTGGATTGTCTGGTCCAGCCTCGATTATTTACAGACCGCCGCCATATAGCTGGAATATTGCTGAGCGCGGTGTAAAACTAAACTCACTCACTCACTCTAATCTTCAAAATGTATTCATCTTTAATTTATAAATTGTTCTCGTCACAATATGGCTGAAATATTGCCGATGTGACGATAAATAATAAGTTGCCCACTCTCTTTCTTCATGGCCTTATGCTTTGTCTTGAATCTAACATCCCCTATTAGCAGTCTCAATGTGGAAGCGGGGCGGTGGGGTAGCCTAGTGGTAAAGGCGTTCGGTCTTCACGCCGAGGACCCGGGTTCGATTCCCCACATGGGCACAATGTGTGAAGCCCATTTCTGGTGTCCCCCGTCGTGATATTGCTGGAATATTGCTAAAAGCGGCGTAAAACTAAACCAAAAATCGGTTTCACAAATTGTACCCTTGTGCGGAATCGAACCCGGGATTTCGGCGTGATGAGCAAACGCTTTAACCACTAAACTACTCCACTGCCCCTCCGTATTTGGAGAGGCCACATGTGTACCTAACACTGACCACACTCACTAAAGAACGTCGTCATATGAGCGAAATATTCTCAAGCACGACGTAAAACCCAATTTCACCTCACCACCACCACCTCACTAAAGAAATCAGAAACCAATAAATTACAGTACAAACAAGAGTTTATTCAATTTTGAAGTAAATATAATACATACGAATCTATATATAGAGAGATGGATCCAAAGATGGTGGCGCACTCTATTGTGCCACTGTCATTGCATCCAGAACAATATCTTGTCGATTGACAAATAAGAGCTTCTGTAACACCACGTTTCATCCCATCCCATTTTAAAACCAGTGACAAGAGGATACATCATAACAGACCAATATTACAAATCATCATATATGAATGATATATTTGGATATGTATCATAATTAGTAACCGAATTTGTTAGAATGACTAAATTGACTGTTAGTAGCAATACCTTCAAAGGGCTTGAAGTAGCATAAAACAGTTGTCCCCCTGAGCGGGTAAATAAGTCCGATTTTATTCAAGGTATTTTTCATCCGATCTACAGCCTGTTTTCATATTGTACTGTGCTTAATAGTGATATGATGTTTAAGTTACATGCTAGGTTAAAATCTCTAATTGTGATGACTTTAGCTGTTTTACTGTCCTCTGTTGACAGATCGTATGCTACAACATTATCTATTATTAACCTATGACCTGTTTGAGTCACGATATGGCTGAAATATTGCCGATCTGACTTTTTGAAGTTACCAACCCTGACGTATGGCTGGAGTTTGGGCTTATTTCATACACTGATAAATTACATAAAAACACACAATTATCAGTTACACCAACGTGGGTTCTCAGTCCAGATTTGAAGAGGTCATTATACGACGATGTTGCATTGGCCATACAAGATATACTCATGAATGTGCATTAAAAGATGAAGATTCTCCATTTTGTATCCCTTGTGATGAAAGAATTACAGTCAGGCATGTCCTGCTTGATTGTGTAGATTTTTCAATATATAGAATGATATTTTTAATCATGTCACTCTTTATTTAATTATTCATTTTTAGAAAGAAATAGAATTGATTTATTTTTCCATTAATATGTTTTGTGAATAGATAAATGTTGTGTTTTTTTATAATTGGTGGATTAAATTAACTGAGATTGTTAGTGACTGTATCCTGAAAGGGGTTATAGTATTGCAAACATATCCTCCCCCTGAGTGTTTCAAAGCAAATTTAGGCCTTACGGATTTATAATCGTAGTATGGTTGTAATTTTAAGTAATGGCTAAATCGTTCAATCGTCAGCCGTTTAAGGAATTGTGTAAATCCAGCTAGGTTCAATGCAGGTAGTAAAAGTAGTACAAATCCCATGGAGCTTAGTTTGGGAATCTATATCCCATTTTTATATTGTATTGTCTAAAATAGTAAAAAAAAAAGATTTTTGTGTTATATATGTTAAGATTATATCTATACCTGTGTTGTTTTAGTAGTTTTACGGTCCTTTGTAGACAGGTTTTCTATAATCTAATTTTATGTATCATGAATATACATATTGTTTTTGTCACGATATGGTTGATTATGCAAATAAAATCTTAACTAACAAATTTAACCTAACCAAATGATCCGTTGGAATCTTGTTGAGTTGGTTAATCAAGAGTGATTATTCTCTTGCGTTTACGTTGAATTTATACCACAATTCATTGTCACTTTATGTCTTGTGGACCATAAATATTTATGTATATTTGGAAATCTAACAGTATGGTTCCATT